AGAGAGGTACAGCAGTGAGATTGCCAGTCGCGGGGCGATTGGGGTGCAGATCATCTTCAAACAAAGCGCCGATCACATAAGAGGGAGAGCCACAGTTGCACCGTCGACCGAGGGAGCGTGCCCTTTTCTATCTTTTGACCGATTCTCTATGTTGTTTGGCGTTTGAAAGATCCTAATCAGAAGTGATTGAAGAAGGGAGCTCAAAAATAGGTTCAGAAAAATTGAAGTATCAGCCACGGAAGGCAGCATGTAAATGGGCTGAGTAATTGCTCAGGTAGGATAATGTGGGTGCTACTTCGCAAAACATGTTTCACGCCTTCACCATTTTTCTTGGATTTTTAATAGCAATAAATGTAAAGTGATTCACTAATTATGGGACAACCTAATACAATTTTGACTTTCCTAATATGATAAGTCAGCTGAAGTGAAATTAAGATGGGAAAAGTAATGCTGGCTGAATGGTGATCACGGCGACTGAGTACTGCTGCTTCATACAAGCTTGCCTATGGCGATAAACACATCAACGTGAGCGAATGCGCACCAGTTTTCCGTGCGGATGACCCTCGTTTTTCTCGATTCATTTTATTTATTTTTCGTATTCTAGAACTGTGAGTCTACATTATCGGACCTAAAAAAATGAAATATCAAAGGCTTGAAGTTAGTTCCAAAAAATATTCAAAATACACACTGAGACGCAAGCAAGTGGGCTGTCTCTATCTGTTTCAAAAGACGTCGAATGCTTAACGTACTTTAAAAATGCAACGGGAATTAGTTTTTTTTTGTCTAAATCAAACCATTTCTTCTACAAATTATGTGCGATGAGGAAATCGTAAATTATTCCATCTGACAAAAAACGAAAGGAATCTCACCCTCTTCTTTTTCAAACATGTGAAACAGACTTTTGCCCCTCATATGCCGGTCCCCAATAATACTGGCGTCCCTACAATCACTCTTTTCTCACGAGCACCACGCCGCCACTACTCACACGTGATCGCCGTCGCGCTGCATATGATTGTTCCAGTGTGGTTTATCGCCCCTGTGTATACAAACTGAAAATCACGCTTACTCCAGACTCATGCTATCATGAAATTCCTTGGTCACATGGTAACCAAAGATCACAGCTTGTCTAGAACCTCGAGCAGTATTCTCTCAGGTCAGCTTACCAACCAAAGAAGTACAACGAAACAAATGATCCCCTGGGCGCGCCCTGAAGATGACGAACGAAACACATTTGAGCTGGGCTTGCAATAAAAAAGCAAAAGCGCTCGTTTTCAAAAACTGACATATGCGCAATCCATCAAAAAAATAAACCGAGAAACTCCCTCGCAATTCCCAATTTTCAGTGAGAACATGCAGCCTGTTCTGCGAACATGCATTCTTCTCATCAAAACATCGTCTGCACTCAAAACGCCGAAGCAACCAACTGCTTCATGGACACACCGTGATTTTGAATCAATCCACATAACCCGAAAACAAGGTTGGGCCCCATTAGCTACAAGAAGAATTTATCTATATAAACCAATGCTTCCATTCAACTTAAAATTCTGCGAAATTCAGCGAAGAACAGCGTTATAAGCAAGACTGATTCATATTTGTGTACTCTGATTTGCGATTCGAGCAACTAGCGATTTCAGAGCTCAAAAACAAGACGCAAGATAAGAATATCACCAGGAATAAGATTATCACCAGGATATCTGGAATGCAATCGAAGTGCTGCAATGGATCTAATCATTGCGCTTGCAGCACTGTTGACTGCCTTCTTCGTTAGAACCAAATTCGTGCGAACATCATGAAGAAGTATGCTGTTTTGAATAAAGAAATGCATGGGATTTTGGGGATATTGAAGCCAGCCGGAAAAGAGTGATTCGCATGAGAAAAAAAAGGTGAGTCGAAATTTGCCACCAACCCATTGGAAAATTGCGAGCTACAGAGAACCATTTGAGCAACATGTGGAACTACAAGCATTACCTGAAGGGACAGCAGAATACTAGAGGCAAAATTTATGAGTTGATTTTCCATACTAATGGCTTTAGCGCACTCAACTCCAATCGAAGAATGAATTCACCGCTCAAGCAGACAGTCGAAATAGTATTGGGAAAGGAGTGGCTCCGTAGTATGAGTTCATGTAAGTTAAAACTGAGAGTTGTCAGGATTTAATTCTTTCAACGGAATATCTATGAAGAACGAAAGGTTGTCCTTTGACCCATTTCCTCATTTTAGAAACACACCATTAAACTGTTAACCAGTGAGATTGAGAATGCGGTCGGGGTAGTTTTTGCCGGAACGTGTATCGATTGCGCTCGAAACAAGTGCAGGAAGCCGTTCCACATTACCCAGTACGAAAGGAGCTAGACTTTCCCAAAATGATGACCTAGGAATTTTGTAGATATCATGTGAGTATGCCACAATTCGTGACATGGCTTCTACCATAATACTGATCAGCTACAAAGCCGAACTTTTCAAAAGTAGAACTTGTAGTATGATATTTCGTATTCCATTAGCTTCACAAACTAGGAAATTCAAACAGTTCTAAGCTCTTTAGCTTGGGGTGGAAAGCTGAATAGATGGCCACATCAAATCCTACACAAGTGAACTGCCAAAGTGCACGTAGCCCGGCTTTTCGCGTATGCTGCCGCTCCTGTCGTTTTTGATATCGACTAAAAGCACAATAGACTACGCGAGTAACACATGATAGAGAGTGAATATTTCTCTCATACTCGAAAATGGGAGACAGGAAGAGAGAGGCCAATTCGTCAGAAGTCCTCCAGATACAAAAAGCTATTGAAATAATGGTGAATACTACTATGAAGAATGCTCCAAAAGTAGATGCTAAAATTGCGAGACACTTTCAACGTTCTGCTTACTACCATTTACTTACACAGTTTATGAAGACCCATCTTCAAAATGAATTTGATCGCAAAACACAAAACTTGCCTATCACACTTTTTGCGTACGATTTGTTTTTGAGCGTTGCAAGACCCAGATCGCCAATTTTGACGCTGCCCGTAGTTCCAGTGATGAAAATGTTGTCACACTTCAAGTCTCTATGGATAACTGGTGGATTTCGAGAGTGCAAAAACGAAAGACCCTTCAGAATTTGCCGACACCACGACTTCAACACCTAGAAAGACATCATCTAGAATAATTGACCGCAGTAACAAGGAAAGAAGGAAATATAGAAACAGCACCTTGATATTAATTCTCTTGAAACGTTTCAGATACATTTTCAGTGTTCCGGAAGTCATCAACTCCGTGACTAACACAATATACCTGTAACACACATTCAGATATTATCACAAACGCTAACCTTTCCTCGTAAAAAATAACAAAAACCAACTTTCTTTTCCCTGACGGATCAGTGCGCTCCCAATAGTCATAAAATCGCACAATATTGGGGTGCTGGAGATCCTTCAGCATCTCTGCCTCTTCCCGGAAACGTTGCCTTTCTGCCTAAACAATTTAGACACATAGAATACGGCAAGTGATAGCGGATATCTGACTGATAACTCACCCTATTAAGTTTACTCTCTTGCAATTCGCACCACGCCACTGCCACACCTGTTTCAGTATCAAGCCCGCGATACACCGTCTTGAACGACCCACGACCGAGCTCCTCATCGAATTTAAGGAAACGCCCATCTACAGTGTTAATTAAAAAACATTTACTAAAAGTAGGATAATTGCAGTGGACACTCACTAGGACTTTTATCAATAGGCTTTTCTTGTGCGTCAAAGTCATCATCAACTTCAAGCTGCTCCTTCGCACGCACCTCTTCATCCCTTCTCTCCTTCTCTTTTTCATCCGTTATAGTTGGCACTACTGCTGCTTTGACCTCAGAAGGTACTTGTTCATTGACCACGGGCGCAACATCTCCAGCATTTGGTGACGCAACTGGTTTTGATGCATTTCTGAATTGAAGCGAGATTAAGGGCACATACAAAGAAAAAACATGAGTCTTTGAGGAAGAAACATTAATGCTTCAAAAATTCCAAACTATAAGGGTGGCGTGCTCGTATAACACGAATGTTCTTCTTTGACAAAGTTTATCCTCCCCTTAGAGGACTTGTCCAATTGAAGCATTGAAATCTTCTGTCACTCTCTTCAAAACCTGTACTATAATATTTTTCCCCAAAACACCGAGAAGAGCAGATGCTATAATAGTTTTAAAAGACTTAGTCCACGTGCCCACCTGAATCGAAACGCGTTCTTGCGGCTTAGCCTTCGCAGAGCGCATTGGCCCCTGTGAAAAACTTTGTGGTAGAGCTCAATGAGCAGCATGCCGTCAATATCTAGTGAATACACGATTGCCAGCTAACTGAAGACGACTGGACGACGTAAAAATGTAGTATTCCTTATTAATAAATCACAAATAGCGTAGAAAACGCATAGTCTGCCCGTGAAACAGGCGATTATAATGGTATGTGATACAGTAGCAGGCCTGTTGTCGCACGCCATGGTATTTTGTTGAACCTTAGTGTATGAATAATGTACCGACGGCGAGAGTTGATCGTGCCGAGCACGACAAGTCTCGAGAGGAAAACGTATGCAAAGATCAATAATAAGTCAAACGTAATCGATTGATAGATTGCGTTGTAAACTCAAGCGGATAGTAGGTTTTTTCTCTAACGAAATTGCTTTATGCAGGTGCATAAGCTAGCAGCAGCAGCTGCAGTCTTCTCAAGAACTTCACCGAGAATTTCCGCGCGAAATCTTGATCCGAAGTGGTACACGACTAAGAATGCAGGTTAAAAATCCATGCATTTTTACCTAAACTAGGGTGATGCAGTAACGAGAAGTGTATCGGTTTCGATCGGATTTCTTTGAAAACTTTGAACCCCACATCACTTCCAACACGTGCGTATCACGCGTCCAGCGGCTGGTTTGAGAAATAAGCCGTATTAACTCAACTCTGTATGCATAAAATACACGACGTGTCCTCCATAACTTTCCTTCGAAACGGGAACCACAGATTCCCAAATAAAAATATCTCATTTTGTTTAAGATACAGACCTGGTGCGATCGAAAATGCTCGTTTGTGTGGTGACTGGTACAACGGCGTTATTTAGGGCGGCAACTAAATTACCACCTTCCTTCGCAGAGGGCGGAGCAGCAGCACTGACATCTTGAGTGGTATGCTCACGATGACGAGCACGAATCCATGGCTAGAACAAGGACATGAAACCAAGTGTCCAAAAATTCAAAGATATGGGAGAAAACGAGGTTTCGTATTTTGCATGCCATGCATCCTTTAGTACTAAAGTTACAAAAAATGAAAAACGAAAGGGAACTTCGGATTCTACAGAGATTATATGCAATGATCTTGAAAAGCTAGGGATAATCGATAAATATTATTAATATAAGTTTATCACGTCTGCAGAAGGCACACATGAAAAAGAACAACTGAGTATCTCGATGCATACAAAGATGTTGGAGCTTATCCAAAAGGTTTTAAATGAACACCCACTCGATTCGTGGCATTTGCGTTATATGGACGGCTGAGGCGCCAGTCGCGCTGCACGGCCTCGAGCCGAGATCGCTCTTCACCTGATAGCCAGTTCGTGCCGATTCTGAAAACTGTGATTATTAAGTAGTCGTTCTAACACATCCAAAGTGGACAATGGTATTACAGCTATTTAGATCAATTATCGAAGATGCTTCAAAAGGAGCAACTACATATTTTGTCGATCATTGGCACTAGCCATCCACTCCTTTATATGCCATAATGGATGAATTCGTTCCAAACAAGCGGTGAAAAATTCCTTCAGCGAAAATGCAGCTTAGAAAACCAGCTCAAAATCAAGACAGGTATATTTTTGCGAAAAAGAAACATATGCTACAAAAAGCAAGTTGAAATAGATTAGAAGTTCCGCCAAAAAATGCTAGTAATGGTAAACGAATAGGAACACTTTGCTTTCAATAACAGCCCTGCTACAAACTATGACAATTAACGTTTAAAGCCACCCATAAAAGGATGCCGACAAGGTGAAAGCTAATTTAGAAACAAAAGAACCAGCTGATCACGCGCGCAAAGACATGTGACCTCCTACCCTCATCGGAAATGTCCGCATGTGATGCCAAGTTTGCGTTACAATCGGAACTACAAACTAGGAAGAGAGAAACAGTTTTGATTTCATTAAATTTGCCGGGAATTCGACCTTCCTTATGGGAAGCATTTCCTTTAATAATGCAGAAACCAGACTCTAAGTAAATTTCAGATTTCCGTCAACAAAAGCGCCCACTTTTGCATCTATTGGTGCGAGTATGACACATAGGTGAAACAAAAGAAAAAAGCCGTAGCGCGGATAGAATTTGTAATACGATGGACAACCACCATATTTGCAGCTAATCAATAACAGGATCCCGTTCAGGGTCGAAATGTATGGCGTACAGCAGTCACGAGGCAGGGCAGTGGAAAACATGGTATTTCATTGAAGGGCCAATACCCTTTATGGACAAATGAGAGAATCATTAAACTACGTGGGGCACTACGGATTATTCATTTTTGAGCTATAAAAAGTGAGGGAATAAAAATATGCAGCTAGAAGTACAGGTGGTACACTGTAATGGCCAGGTTTTTACACTTCCCATGAGGTATGGAAACGTAAGCCAGTGCTCACCCGAAATTCCATTTCGTGAAGAACGCCTTATTTCACACCATTGATCATCATCTACACCTTTAATCACCATCATGATTTCTCCGAGTAGGATTACTTAATAAACTGCTCAGGTATGAATTGGCGGATTAAAAATCGTTCACCAGTTGAAACCTCAACGGCTACGTAAGGAATACTTCAAGGAAATTGAAAGTCGCAATTAACTGTGCGCTAAATTGTTCAGTCTGAGAAGTAAAAAGATTCACCATCAGTTACCGATTTCGAAATGCTAACGAACAAAAAAAAAGCTGAAGCTGCCACCGAAAAGAAACGGAAACTGAGGCCTTGCTACTCTGAATCGGCTCATATCAAAAGTGCGGAACACGTCTGATAAACGATTGTGATAGCTACAATCAAGGCGCCAAGGGGCTACCGCGTCTGCGCTCTAAAGCAAAGAACACGTGTCCTCAAGTGGCAGGGAGAACGCACATAAAGCGTAGGGAAATATAGAGGTTGAACTGATAAATTCGAAAGAGAAGATGAGTCACAACTCACCGTGCCCGGAAATCAACTGGCATGACTGAATATAGCAGTGGAAACGTATGAAGTGCTTTTTACAACGAAGTAGGCAAAAATAGCATCAGAACAGCAAAACTGTCCCTGTCCATTATTACAGCAAGAATAATGCAAACATAATGAGTCTCAGGGTACCTGAGAGATAGGGTTGATAGGCTTCAAACACGAAGTTTGAAACGCCCTGTTTCGGGACTAAAGAATGACAGGGAAATATTCGCTAAGCCTAGCGAAACGCGAGTAGAGACTGTCCCCAGCGCTACTGTGTGACTTCATCCGCTATTCGCAATTCAAATCTGGTGTTATGAGTGAATAAGCATAGGCACGCGGTATCGAACAGCGCTCGCTTCAAAATACCCATTCAATAAAGATCGACATGGCTTTCCTATTACGAAACAATTTTACATTCTGATGCAAAGAAAAGTGCAAAGTCTCGTCGACGTGGCCATGCACAAACTGCTCTTACATCGAATGGCTTCACTTTTCAGAAAACGAAATTTGAATCCTTGCCAATGGAGGAATCACCGGGAAATGATGGAAACAAACCTTCACATAGGAGTCCCCGGAGTTGAGTTTGTAAAACAAAGTTACCTAATATAATGCAGCATTCCATGCCCTTGGTCCCTGATAGCCCCACCCCCTCCACTCTTACTGACCCATGTCATGAAGTTGAAGCGAAGAGAGAGTACCATATTATTGTAGCACAGTCTCTCCATTCATCCGTTGTTTTATTGCAAACGAGGTATTATCCCCCACCTTCATCAGAGCAAACCCTTGGTGCACAGTTCACACCATGTGCATGACCATAACACGTGTTGGAATCTGATTCACAATTTACTTACATTCAAGACAGTTACAGGAAGCGAGATAAGTATCGTTGTCTACTGCTATCCTAATTGTGCAACCCTGGGGATGGACTGGAAACGGCCGCTTGGAATAGTAAGCAACTGATATCTTTGGATGCTTCTTCCTAACGTGCAAAACGATGTTACGAACGAAGCCGTGGAGGTTTTTTAGAAAACTGCTTCAAGATGCGCACTCGTCCGCAAGATGTACATGAGACGTGACGGAAGTGCAGATATGTGACGACAAGTGAATGGATAGGTGGTTGGTCTTGGGTCTGCCCGGTCAAGTGTCCGGGTCCTCGATCATTGGAGCGCAATCTAGAAATTTAGCCCTGCCACTATACAGGCTTCCAGAAAAAAAAAAGGAACTCCTGTTGGGAGATTCAGTCGTCAACACTTTTAGTCGCCTGTTTCTTCAGCGCTAACCAACCATCGTCACCTAGTCAAAACGTATATTTTGAACTTATTGATTACGAGTAATGCCAAAAGCCAAAAATGAATCCCTCTCTGTCTCGGCGATCACAGCGTTTTTGTACATCCAATAGCCATCCCACTTACTTGATTTCGTCCTAACGAGTGTGGTGAGGACATCGCTAGCGCCAAAATCGTCGGAAGGCGCCACATTCCTCCACCGATCGTGAACGTCGTATTCGTTACCGTTACCTCAGAAGATTAAGTTTTGAGATAGATATCATATTTGTCTACGGGTTGTGATCATGACATGGTGCCGAGATAACATCGACAGGAAGTGTGTCACTATCCATGACTAATCCCTTCTTACATGGCGATGTTTCGAAGCGACTAGAAATTCGCTTCAAGGGGTGTAGCGCTACTGGTAGTCAAGTGCCTCAATTCATGGTCAGGAAGCCCAAAAAAGCTTACTAAATGCGTGAATTATGCAGATTCGCTTCTAACATTCAGACCAACCGCATAAGGCGGAAAATCCGCACAACCTTATTTTCAACAAAATATAGCGACAAGAAGAACAGGTGGCGAACAACGTCTAAAGACACATCAAGCTGTACACGTCTCACAGTATACGAAAGGCCACTATGACGCCCAACCTAAAACCCCAACATTCGACAAAAATCAGGCCACTACTACTCGTTCAATTTGCTGGGGCTTTTATCTATCAAGTTAATTTGAGACTAGATAGAGTGTATTGTAGTGCGAAAACTTACGAATCCAATAATCAAACTTTTTTCTAAAGCTACATGAAGGAAATTCAAAACCAAATTCTACCAGACCCAGTCTAACAATAATAAACTCAAATGAACTTTCTTGCTAATCTTAACCCTACGTCATTTTTCAATGACTCATTGCCACTATTCAGCCACTTGACGTTCCTTACGTTTTCAGGAACAAGAAACCACCAAATTGCGAAATGTCAACGGAGCACTTAAGGAATTTTCAACCAAAAAAAAACACCAGTTGGTTCACGCCTTCCTTCAGATAACACTCCCAAAACACCTTCAAGGCACAGTGAGTTTCATAATGAAAGAGTACTGAGTGAAGAGACTTAATTGATTCATAGTATCACTGCTAAAATGAGAACAGACGAGAAGAGGTTTCTCACACTGTCCATGTCTGGTTTGTCCAATATCCACACGTCTTCAAGAAAAGTCGGTCGCAAACGTGAAAATCAGGTGCGCCGTAGTTCAAGGAATTCTCGGTGGAATGGAATTGGCAGAGCATTTCTACGAAAAAGTGAGAAAAGGGACTAGGGGAATATGAGAAACTGATGATTTTGAAACTTTATTGTTTTCACCACTGCGTGTAAACCGCTCCCCCTTTCAAACCTCCCTTACCAAAAAATAAAGGCCTTGCAAGAAAAACTCCGAGGCAAAGCGTAGAGGTCATCATGGCACGCCTTCGGTTTAGTTATGTTTTGTTCAGCGAGAACGAATCATTCTCGAAATTCCAAGTGTCTCAGGAGGTTCGATGGGACAAAGTGACGAAGAATGATGGTGGAGAAGAAAAATGCGCAGTCAGCAAAATTTCACGTGTCACACCTCGTCATGACCCAAAACGTTGGAAACTGGGAAAGAAACTGCTTCACAGAATTGGTAGCACGTCAAAACTTCTGAGCAGACCTTCTGAACCTTTCACCTGCTTTCTGTAGGTTAGACAAACTTACTTACAACCCTGTTTGATTACTACTGAGAAAACTACAGATTGATTGCCTACAAGTCCACTGCCATTGCTAATCTTGTTACGCAGGCAGAGATCTAGCATGAAATATTCTCAAGAATATAAACGATGAGCCAAACAAGAGTAACATCAGTGTCACAACAATTTTCAGACGGAAAACGGAACCTCTCACAGGTTGCGCAAAAATAGTAACTGAACAAGCTGTTGGAGTTTAGCCTAGATAGGCCAGTTAAGAGTCTTATTCATACAAGGTGTCACAATTATAGGACTCCAACCCGGCTT